TTTAATACAAGACCCTGTCTTATTTTCAGGGAAACACGGTATATGCCAGTGTCTGTCCTGCCCTTGAGTAACTTCTCCATGTTCTAATTTCAAGCAATCAATTTCATTTCTGTATAGACTATCTAGAGATGTACACATGTACAATCATCTTTTTTGTTGTTTGAAAATATAGTATATATTTGGGTCCACATACAGGATTCTATGAGTTGCTCTCTTGCTTCACTTTGAACTCATTGGCTGAATCCTCCAGTGAATCTGGAATTGCAGCATAGACTGGAACGATGGTTATGTTAAAAGGTTTTCTATGAAATCTCATTTGGCCAGATTTTGTTTTATAGCATATAATTCCTTGTGCTACATAACATCTCACCATTAGTGTCACTGTTTCTTATTAGTTGGTCATTTTAGAGTAAAACACTTTGTAATTACCTAATTGAATAGTGCCCTATTCCACTCCACTTTAGTTCATCCACACTAGACATAGTGATGTTTATACAGTCTCCATTTTTGCTTTACAATTTTCAGCTTAGTTTGAGTCATACTTCTAATATTCCAAGTTAGAATTTTGTGCATCATGCAACTGAAGAGCTTTCTTTCACATTTATGTGTATCAGAAACTGAGCTTTAATTAAACTGCTTTATTAGGAACAGCACTATTTGTGGTTGTCCTTAGCTATTCTCCAATAGCTGATTGAGTGGCTTCCAACCTTGGAGTCTCAGTTTCCAACACTATCTCCTGTTTTATTTTGGAGTGTCTCATTATAGGATTTTGCAATATGAAGCATACAGAAGTGGTTTACCATTGCCTCCTCCTAACAAACATTAGCTTGAATGTCAAGTTCATTGCTTCTGAAAGTCTCGCCTTCCACTAGTGTTGCTGCCCAGAAGTTGCCCTTCAGTAATTTCTGTGTCCCCATCACCATGGGACTATCTGTTCTTTTCTGCTGATGCACTTTTTACTTCCTGAAGAGGGTGGATGCATCTCAGTATGGCAGCTTAGATTTGACCATTCTGCCTTGAGGCACTGTGCTAATAGTGTAGACTTGTACCAGAATCTAGCTTCCTGATGTTTTGCTCTCAGATTTCCTGATGCACTCAGATCCCTTCACCATATAGAGTTGTATATCAAAAACTTTCTAGAATTAGTATAGGAGAAGGATCCAGTACAGTTGTCTCATTGCAGAACTAGTTGTACAGTGAAGACCGTGTAGACTGTACAGTGTCTCTTATGCAAACCTGTGCACAAGTGTTAAATTCAGCACAACTGCTCTAGCTGCGAGCATCCGCTGAACTGGGTCCCTGCCTGTGGAGCCCCAGAGGTCAGCAGTTGGATTTCTTCACTGTGCTTCTCAGGAGAACAGCTAGCCTGTATAACTTGGGGCAAGCTGCCCCCATCTGACCACACTCCCAGATAAAGGGAGTGGCAATTCATTTCTGAGCACCTAGAAAATAAAATCTGGAAAAGATCACCGTAAGTCAAAACCAACGGGACACCATGTAATTATTGTTTTGTATCGCACCGAACCCAGGGAAGCTTTATTAAACCAACTTCATTGCCCCCCTGATTTTTATACATTAAAAGATCTCATGGATGTAATTTTTTAAAAATTCCAACATTGAATGAAAATCACCAGCTCATCCTCACCAATCCCCTTCTGTTTACCCAAATCTTCCTTCATTTCAAGATCCTAATTTGGAGAAGGGGCTTGAGAAGCCTTTTTGCTGATGCTTTTAAATACATCAACACCAGTCCTGTTTGTTATTTTTGGGACCTGGTTTAATGGGCAAAACCGCATTCCATGTGTGCTTCGTCTTTTCCCTCCATTTGTGTAAGGCTATTCTCACTATTCTGCTGGCGGAAAACCCCTTTGCTTTGAGTGGCGTGATCTCTGGCTTTTGGATGCTGGAGACGTCTGTGGAGTGTTGGGCCCACAGAGATGTTACACTCCCTGATTCCTCAACAGGATTCTGTCCTTGGGGGTGAAAAGCTCCTACAGATACAGAACAGCTCCTCAAGGGATCTTCCAGCTGATACTGATGTACCTTCTGACCACCCATGTTTTATAGTCATGGCACATTTAACCTCAAGACTAAAATATCAAAACAAAACTGGCTTCTGTAGCTAGAGTACTCTGTGTGTCCCCTTTGTTTATTTCATTGCGTAGGCCAAGTTGCATCATATACTGCATTAGAATTTGGCATTCTTCTGACAGGATGACACAGTTATGGATAGTGAGAGGAAGCCTTGATGGCCAGGGGCGAAAGCTGAGACTTAAGCAACAAACAGTCTCTGTCTTAGCCATTCATAAAAACAGGTATTGATATCGCATCACAGGGAGAGCACAGAAATCTTCCTGTAAGAGGGAAAATCGACAGGTGGATTTATTCTGAGTGAAAGCAGCTTGCTTCAGGTAATTTGTAGCCTGTGGGAGGTTTGTTAGCCTATTGTGCTTAAAGCTGAAAACAGCAATGTAGAAATGTGAGATCTTTTCTCTACTTTATCTGATTAAAACTCAGCAAACCTTCCCAAACTCAGACCTCAATATTCATTCCCTGTCCTGGGATAATGAACAGCACACTGTCTTCCCCTCAGGGACGAGCCTCACCCAGGGGTGAGTTTTCAAGCCATAGGAACGCATTGAACAAAGTTCAGTGCGTTTCTATGGCTTTTTTATTCCTGCACAGCAATGTTTCGCTATAGCAAAGGTTAATCCAGAACGGATTAACCTCGATATGCGAGGCACCACTGTATTGATATCACATCACAGGGAGAGCACAGAAATCCTCCTGTAAGAGGGAAAATTGACAGGTGGGTTTATTCTGAGTGAAAGCAGCTTGCTTCAGGTAATTTGTAGCCTGTGGGAGGTTTGTTAGCCTATTGTGCTTAAAGCTGAAAACAGCAATGTAGAAATGTGAGATCTTTTCTCTACTTTATCTGATTAAAACTCAGCAAACCTTCCCAAACTCAGACCTCAATATTCATTCCCTGTCCTGGGATAATGAACAGCACACTGTCTTCCCCTCAGATTGTTGTTTATGCTTTCAGTCCTTCAGCAGGGGGTCTGATCTTTGTGTGGAAGAGATAAATTGTCTTGTCAGGATGCTTCATTCTTCCAGTGAAGATGCTGTTCTCTGTTTGGAGAATTGCGTAGACAAACAAAAGTCTTGGCCATGGAGGTGGGCACCAGTTCGTGGCAAAGGGTTTTGTGCTGATGCCTTCCCTCTGGTTTAGGGCAGAAAGCTGGACTAGATTCAGGTGGGCACCAGTTCATGGCACTAGAGTGGTCCTCACTGACCAGATAAGCGGGGTATAAATTAAATAAATAATAATAAAATAATAATAATTTTGTGCTGATACCTTCCCTCTGGTTTAGGGCAGAAAGCTGGACTAGATTGGCCACAGTTCTGATCCACTGTGCCTCTCTTTATAACCCTTGATTCCGATCACCGTGGAAGCTTAACATGTGGGCTCCCATGCTTATGTGCATTGCTACTAGGAAACAGCCCTAGTCGGGTGTGTTTTGTCGAGCTGCTGCTTTGCAGATGTGCTTCTACAGGGAGGTATTGCAAGGAAGCTTTTAGGCCTGTTTCAGATGCAGGAACTGTACTCACCAGGATTGTAGTGTTTTGTCTGGGTGTGAGGACGTGACATAGGTGAAATAAACAATCAGAAGGAAAGTAAGTGTCACAAAATATGTACACACCCTTTCGAGAAGGGCTGGGCTCAGTGGTAGACCATGTGCTTTGCATACGGGAGGTTGTGCACACCATCCTTGGCACCTCTAGGTATGGTTGGGAAGACCCTAAAACTGTGGGCCAGACTGGGCTTCCTTGGCAGAGCCAGGAGCCAATTTTGTCACACACACACACATATAAACACAGACTTCATGGAACTGCCATACAGTAGGCAGTGTATTGGTGAAAATCAGTGACATTATCATGCCGCTGGGTTCTGGCAGCACACTTGGTAAATCCAATTTAAAGGAAACACAGTGGTACCCCTCATGATGACGATAATCTGTCTCACTGAAATCACTGTTTAGTGAAATTGTCATCATGCTAAATCCGTTTCCCCATTGGAATACATTGCAATCTGTTTAATGTGTTCCAATGGGGTAAATACCTCGTCGGCCAGCGAAGATCACCCATAGGGAAGCCATTTTTTGAGCGCCGATCAGCTGTAAAAATGACTGCCCTGGGAAGCATGGGTCTGGAAAACACAGGGCAGCCATTTTGCGAAGCTGACGATCAGCTGTAAAAATAGTCTTGCGGACAAACGGTTCACGAAGCACGGACCAAATCATCGTCAAGCGAAAATCCCCCATTGGAATGGCTGTTTTGCGAATCACTATAGCGATTGCAAAAAGTCATTGTTATGCAGATTCGTTGTTTAGCGGGGTCGTCATCTTGCGAGGTACCACTGCATTTTGCTTGATTTAAATGGTGTGTTGTGTTTGCTATAACATGTTGATGGGAAACGGCTGCAAAATAGGGTCTTCTCAATGTAGCAGACCAGTGCAAGCTATTGAAAGCTATTGAAAGCAAGCAGTTTACCCTTTGGGAGCCAGGTTTGCCATGAGAATTTGGTGGCATGAGTTGCTGGTGTGTTCTGAGTGTTTTGAGGTGCCGTGAAGGGCTGTATGCAGCCGGCAAGTTGTGCATTGCCTGTTTCTTTTTGAGGGACCCGGTGTCAATCGCGATGGAGAAGACGAGGCTGGGAGTCTGGCTTAGCAAGACAGCGGTTTCCTGTATTTGTCGAGGTTAGAGCTCTCTTTGTAGGCAAGTGTTGGTCTTTGGGTCCTTCGTAGAACTCCCCGAGTCTTTTGGCCTTGTTTCAGACATTGTTTAAAAATAGAAGCAAGAGACCTTGAAGGAGAGGCACTTTTAGCTCAACACTGCTACTATATATAAATAAACCTCTGGCTTTAGATTCTGCTTTATCACTAGCAATCAGCTTTCTGTGTATGCAGAAAAATAACTGTGCCCTTCATTTCTTTTAGGACACAGGACATCCTTGCACAGCCAACGATCCCAACAGCTGCTTCGTGTCGGTGTCTCCTCAGCACTTCATAGACCTCTTCAAATTTTAATTGTGTGTGTGTGGTTTTTTTTTTTACCCTTCCTTTTTTGCATACTCATGCACTTGTAACGTATAATGCTTTTTGTGCAATATTTCTATGAATGTGCTTTGTAGTTGAAAAGGGACGTAATGGGATCAGAAGGAAAAAAATATTGACCCAGCAGCACATACAGTAAGATGTTAAGTTAGCAGAAGGAAAACTGAAAAAAGGTTCATTCTGCAGGGGACGATGCACAATGGGGCAGGGTGAGTTCTACGGGAAAAAACAAACCACTGGAAAGTGACAAACTTTGGAACATTTATCTATCCAACACTACAGTATGTCCTATAAAGCAGGGGTCTCCAACCCCTGGTCCACGGGCTTTCCAGAACTGGGCTGCGGAGACAGATCTCTGCCCCGCAGTCCACACAGTGGGCGTGTTGCACTTGCACACAAGTGCAACATGCACCCTGCAAGTGCAGGGGTGCCCCTGCCCCCCTGTGCATGGAGCCTGCCTCCCCCCACCAGTCCGTGGTCCAAAAAAGGTTAGGGACCACTGCTATAAAATGTGATGTTGGGACAAGCAGGCTATTTCATTGAAGCGACCAAACACGACTTGTGGATTCAAGCCTTGTCTTTTGGCTTCCTGTTCCAGATGTACGCTGTGGCCTCCGCCTGGCCTATATTCAGAAGGTTGCGCTTTGGGCTTCTTTCTATATAATCGTTTTGACTGTGATTGTTGCATGTTGGTCAGATGCAGTTGTGCATTCCTGGTGTGTGTAAGAATGAAAGAAGCCAGTTCCATTTTGTAAATACATTGTTCAGAATACTTATTTTTCTTAAAATCTATTTTATTAATTATGTCATTCCTCCTCAACAGTGTCCTAAATAATGTGAACTGTTAATTCTTGTCTGCTGAAGCAAGATAGAATGTTCTGATGGTAATCCCATTGGTTTACATGTTTTGTGCGTTTAATCCTAAATGTTAACAATGGCACGAGGATTTTGATACAGGTCTTTACAACATCAGGCCTATGTGATGCCTGTTGAGCTTCTGCTATGGAAGTGCTTTAATTGTCTCTGCACATGATGAACATAGGTTGAATTGATAAGCATTCTCTTTGAAGTTGCTATCATGGGGCTAACTCCAGTTGTTAGCCCCACCTAGAATAAATCTGTTGAATGAGGGAGTTTGGCAAGTAAACATTGAAGAAAGATCCGGTGATTCATTGGATATACTTGATTTGCGACTGATACTGGATTTAGGTATTCTGCCAATATGGAGGAGGGAAGGAGTAGAACTCATAGCAGAGAAAATTCAAAATGATTTGACAGGGTATTCTTAAAGTTTTAATCATTTCAATTATTCAATTATGTACAGATAAAAGCAGGCCTTACCTTATGTACTATAGTGTGTTTGGGACCTAATTTTGTATACAAATAAATCATGTTTTTATCTTTTAACTAGTATTTAGAGTTCTTTCCCCCCAGTTGGACACACACTCACAGAGAACATCTCCAGTTGTGGATTGGAGGCATTGCAGGTCATCTCTTGGAATTTCCCTTTGCAATTCTAACAGCCATACCATCCCTGGTGTTTACAATATATGCGGTTTGCTTGGATTCTGTTAGGATCATATTTTCATAATATGTCCAGAACCAATATATGTGGTTTGCTTGGATTCTGTCAGGATCATATTTTCATAATATGTCCAGAACATGCAAGGAAAACAGTATCCCGTAGCTGTCATTAAAGCAGAGAATTTAAAAAAAAATTAAAAGGAGCAGGACACAGTGACAGATGGCCCACACTTTTTTTTCTCTCTGCACAGATTTGACTTTTCCATTTAAAAGGAAAAAAAGGAATGTGTTCTGTAGAAAATGTTAGAGTTATGTTTTCATACATGCATACCACCTCCTGTGTCTGGTAGCATAGGGCACAAATCATCTTCTTAGACTTGTGAGAAAGTCTAAATACACAATGGAAGTGGGGGTAGCAGGCGGGGGAGAGAGGTGTAAAGTCAAGCTCAGAGCATGCGTGAGTGAAGAAACAAGCTTTTCTTGTTGTAAATGCATCAAAGTTCTGCCTGCGAGTTGCTCATCATGCTGTGGAAATGGATTCTTATTAAACAAAGTTAAGATGTTGTGTATAATAATGGCTCTAGGGACCAGTGGTTTCCGAGACTTATGGGGCTTGGAAGGATGTCATCAGTCGCCTATAAAGGCTGCATGTCCTCCTTTGTTGCCAAGAGTGAGAAAATGGTTTGCTCTATGAGATGGAGATGGCCTGCAGAGGACAAGGCAGCCCCTTGACTCTTCCACCCCACACCTTCTAGTCTTACCTATTTGTGGACCAGTGGGACCTGTGCCTGGGAACAGGTTTTAAGGTGTAGGAATGGGAGCTTGCTTGACTGCATTCCCGTGCACATCTGTCTTTGGGCTCTGAGCATTCCTCAGCCAGTTTGACCTTTGTCGTGTTGGCAGAGGGGTTGAAGCCGAGAGGCTTTTTCCAGTCTGGCTGCATTGCTGCTGTTCTTCCTCTCTTTGTATGCCGTTCTGAACCTGTTCAGAACCCTTTCCTACAAAAACATCTTGTCCATTATGATCTCTTCTGACTGGCAGTGGTGCTCTCAGGCTTATTTAACAACTGAATCAGTAATGGATGCTTCATGTAATATAATACTGGCCAGAATCCTATTGTCCATTTATGTTTGTGTAAGGAAAACCATGGGAGCGTTGGCAGCAAATTACTGCTCATTAATGACGTCCTGCTTGCTTTCCATGGCATTGGCTCCATGGGCGGGAGGGGTGTATGTGTTCCAGGAAGGCAAATGGAACCTTGATAATGAGTGGCAATTTGCTGCTATAACTTACACAGTGTCACTTGTGTGTGCTGCCAACTCTCCCTCAGAATGATCTCCTGTCCTACCCATACATCTCAATCCAGAATGTTATAGGTGGCTGTCTTGAGGGAGGCCCAGAAATGAACAACGAGGAATTAGGCCTTCTCTGTGGTGGCCCCTTCATTGTGGAATTCTGTCCTGGTTGAGGTGCAATTAGCTCCTCAGCTTCAAAGACATGGCTGTTTGCGCAGGCTTTTCTTGGCCTTACCCCAGATTAAAACCTCCTCCCCTCCCCCCATTACATTTCTCTTCTGCCACCATCATCTGTTATTTGACATTTAATAGTTACTATGAGATTGGACTTTTTTGTTTGCTATTTTAAGTTGATCTTTAATATTGAATTTTATTTATGTGAATGGTGTGATACTGTAAACCACCGAGAGTAGTGGCCTGGCCACTAGACGGGCAGAGTTAAAATTTTAATTAAATAAGTAAACTCAGAAGCAACATACAGCGACCCTAACAGGACTTTTAAAGTGGGATATTTAAGGTGTGATTGTATCAATTCTGCATGCACGCGTACATGCGCGCGCACACACACACACAACCCATGAGTTTCTATCGGTAAGTGGGGATTCAAAACCAGGTCTCTTGAGTCTGAAGTCCACCACTCTATCCACTGCACCACATTCGGTATCCCAACTTACACAGTTTCACTTAGGCAAGTGTAAATCACCAAGTGGATTCTGGCCAATATAATACAATATTATACATATGATACACCATATAGCTGATGGCTAATGTAAAACTCCAAAGTACTAAGACAAACATCTTTTGCCGAAAACTACTTCCTGGGATCCTGTAAGAGAAGAATGT